TAAAGGCTATTGCCAATAATGTTGGTTGTACATCAGAAGTGGACGGTAAAACCCTATTGTTGAAGACACCACATGATATGAGCATGGAAGAGGGAGAAATCAAGCTTGGTGGACTAAGCTGGAAACTCCCTGCCACTGGAGTTGGGTTGCTTTCATAATGCCAGAAGGTGACATGCAGATGGCTGGGGGAGAACTATCTCCTATAATTCTGCTCAATGATGGACCCCGAGTGCTGCCCTATCAACATGCCAAACCAGATGTTTCAGCTGGTGCAATAGTGGCACATTTAGCGTACATACAACCAACAACTTTTTGATTGGATATAATGCCCATTCCTAGGAGTGGAACACACATCTGGTACTGTAGACCAGACCAACCCCCTGTGGCAGGGGAGGATATAGACCCCAGTAGGAAGCCACTGCAATTGTTTTATTAGATGGATTTGATGCACCTGCTAAAGTACCATCCAAGCATTTTTGTTCACACCCATAGATTAAGTTATTATAGCAGCCACTGTTTGGATGTTCTTGCTTCTTGCTGTTTGTGTTTTTATAATCAATGGAATCCCTCTGAAATGGGCCAACAGCCCATGGAAAACAGATGATGTAGAGACCTGAAAATTCAGTGCCTTGCCACAATGGGAGGAAGATCATCCCACACCTATCGCCCCCTCCAAGGCTCAGGGACTTTGGGGGAAGAGGTTGGTGGAAAGAATGTAAGAGCCAGCAGAAGGGGTGGAGTGTTAACTGAATTGTCCTCTGACCACTAAGTTGGCAAGCTAGCCCATGCTTGTCAAGGAGTCAGTTACCCCTCCCACACAGTCAGCCTTAGGTGCATGTGGGGGAGGGGCTGAGAATGCCATGAGGCACCTCTCTTGCCATTTTGTGGGGCTGTCGGAAGGTTGGTGGAAAGAATGTAAGAGCCAGCAGAAGGGGTGGAGTGTTAACTGAATTGTCCTCTGACCACTAAGTTGGCAAGCTAGCCCATGCTTGTCAAGGAGTCAGTTACCCCTCCCACACAGTCAGCCTTAGGTGCATGTGGGGGAGGGGCTGAGAATGCCATGAGGCACCTCTCTTGCCATTTTGTGGGGCTGTCGGAAAGTCACAGGATCTATATTTGAGTGTGGACTTTCCAGCACAGCCAGAAATGGGGGGGCACCCACTCTTCTGTAAATAAACCCCCACTCTATGTTAGCGAACTCAATAAACTTGTTAGGCTTTTCCAAAAAAAAAAGAACAGAGCTAATGGAAACCTTCATTATTCTACCAAAGTTGACCCCATGTTGGCAAATCCTTTGGTCTTTGATTTCTTACCCCTAATTTCCTCCCTTAAACTTCACTGTATATATATATTT